ACATTATAAACCCAGCAATTAAAAACCATAACCAATGAATTAAAAAGCCTGCTTAAAACAGTATAGATCAATATATTAAATAATTTACATAAAATTTATACGTTATAAACCCAGCCAATACAAAAAACCACTATCCTATGAATTAAGAAAGGCTTGCTTAAAAAGATGAGTTTTCAAACCCGACCTAAAACTCTGTACACTGGAAGACTCCCTAAGGTTAATTTCAAGCTGGTTCCACAGGTGGGGACCAGCCACAGAAAACATTCTCTCACCTGCGGAAACCAGCCTGGCATTAGGGCAATATAATCGAGACGTGTCTAGCGCAGAACGAGTAAATATAGTTGGAACTCTAGTACTTAGCAGATCACACAAATAATTAGGAGCACAACCATGGAGACACTTAAATACCAAGAGACAAACTTTAAAGATCACCCTATACTTGACTGGCAACCAGTGCAATGGCATGAGAGCTGGGGTGATGTGATCATACTTTTTTGTACCAGTAAGCAGCCTGGCTGCAGCATTCTGTACCCTCTGCAAAGGGGCCAGGGATGAGGTAGGGAGACCTACTAGAACAGCATTACAATAATCAATACGAGAAGTAACCAGCATATGAATTATCTGCTCTGTGGCTGATTGACCAAGATACCGTTTGATTTTACTTATGTTGTGCAAGTGATACATAGCAGAACGAGACACATTCCTGATGTGGGATTGCATATTCATGTTCATGTCAAATGTCACTCCAAGACTCTTGACCTCGGATACTGTGGTGATATCGAGGTTCCTATAGAAACCACAGTTCTAGGAATCTTGGTCAAAGATGTGGATGATCCTAAGACGAGAACGTCCGTCTTATCATCATTAAGTTTCAAGAAATTCACCGTCATCCAGCGCCTGATATCGTCACAGCATGCCTCCATCGCTAACACTCAATCATGCACATCATTGGACGTTGGTCTTGCAGAAATGTACAATTGAGTGTCATCAGCATAGAAATGATAACCGAGACCATGGCGGCGGATATGTCACCCAGTGGTAGCATATACACATTGAACAGGAGTGGGCCAAGCACAGAGCCCTGGGGAACACCAAACTGTAATGGATAAAAGGCACTCTCTGCTGAGGACGGTGGACCTCTGTGATTTACAGAGGAGCTGGAGATCTTGACTTTCTGGTGGCGCCCCTTCAGGTACGATGAAAACCAGTTAAGCATGTTCGGTGACACACCTACATGTGTCATTAACCGGCGAAGCAATGTGTCTTGATCCAGCGTATCAAATGCTGCACTGAGATCAAGGAACACCAAGATTGAAACCTTACCCTGGTCCACGTTGTGCAGGATGTCGTTCTGAATACGGACAAGGGCCGTCTCTGTTCCATGAAAACGTTTATATGCTGACTGGAAACGTTCATGCAGATCGAGCCTCGTCATGTGATTGATAAGTTGCTGCGCTACTATCTTTTTGAGAATCTTGGAGCAAAACGATAAGTTGGTGATAGGCCTGTAATGCTTGAGATTATCTGCCTGGTCAGTTTTCAGATTACATAGTTTCGGTATCGGTGTGATGGTAGACAACTTGAACGCCTCTGGGAAAACACCTTGTGTGATAGAAGAGTTGACGATCGATGTAATAACCGGTGCGATCTCCGGCAAGCAAGCCTTCAAAAGCTTGGTTGGTATCGGAACCAAATCGGAGAACTTAAGTGGGCATTTGCGTATGATCTGTTGTACATGAGAACACGTGACCCCTACCAGTCGAAGTTCACATCCGTCAGGAAGAATGGGATCCGAGTCGCCGGCACAGGTTACTCTGCCAGCATCACATATTCCTCTTAAGTTCTGAATCTTGTTATGAAAGAAGCAGGCAAAGCGATTAGCCAGGATGTCGTTCTGAATACGGCGATTAGCCAGCTCCACCAGCGAGTTATGTGCTGGTAGCACATTAGCTGTCTTGCGACACAGGAGTTTATCAATCACGCGAAAGATCTGGTGACAATCACCCCTGCTCTCAGAGATGAGATTCTGATAGTAGTAGTTGGCTTTGGCTTCATTTATCAACTTCACGACCTTATTTCTTTGTGTCTTATAAAGTTCTCTGTCAACGGTGAGTTGTGTACGTCGCCAGCGTCGCTCTAAGTTTTTGCGTTTGAGTTTCTCAACTCTCAGTGTTTCCGTAAACCAAGGTGTATTCGGTCTAAGAGTGGAGGTCTTTGATTGCAGTGGGGCATGCTTCTGCATCATAGGACCCCACAAGTGAATCCAAACTGGGTGGATCCTTGGCCAAAACGGTAAGTGGGGAATTTCTAATGTCCAGACGAAAACTGTCATAGTCAATCTTCTTGAGCTTTCTGAAGACAATTGATTTTTGTTCCCTTGGGGGTTTACTGACATCTAGGGAACAGGTTACCAGCAAATGATCAGACAAGACCGGGTCAGACATGTCTACAGACCTAATAATGTTCAACAATGAGCGCGTTATGACAAGATCAAGCACATGACCATTGACGTGAGTCGGAGATGAGACGTGTTGGGTCAAGTTGCAGGACTCAAGGAAGTTCATGAATCTCAGTGATGGTATCTCTCGCTTGTGGCTGATCCATGTGGATATTAAAGTCACCCAATATCACAAGATTTGACAGTGTTGTCAAAAACTGTTCCAGAAGTTGAGAAAACTCTGAAAGGAAAGCACCCATGGCGACACTTGGAGGTCAGTAGACTACAATCAGTAGAATTGGCCTGTTGTAACAGTGGACATTGAGTTCAATATGTTCAAGAGATGACACTGTCAGAGCAGACGGAATGACTTGAACTTTCATTCCAGACGTATGCAATAATCCAACACCCCCACCAGCTTTTCCGAGACGAGGTTTGTGAAGGAAACAGTAGTTGGTTGATGAAAGCTGCGAAACAGTTATTGTGTCGTTTTCTTTCACCCATGTCTCTGTTAGTGCTAACATGTCAATGTCCTTCTCTTCAAGAAGTTCCAGAATATCGGTTGTCTTATTGCAGACTGACCTTGTGTTCAGGGTACAGATACTGAGGTTACTCACTTTCTTACTATTGGAGGTAGGCGTATGACTGATAGGTACTAGATTGCCGATGTTGACGGAAGGTGCACCGACATGATCAGCCACTCGTTTGGCCAAAGATGGCAGACGCTGGCCACTGATGGTACGGATCAGATTTCCATCGGATTTATTATTCCTCAAATATTTGGTAGAAGACTTACCAGCACAGTATTTTCTTCGTGTTGGAGGGCGAATACAGAGTTTTAAATTGCGAAGAGACCGATAAATGGTGTCTGGGAGTCTGGTTAAAGAGCATCCATGTTGCCATCGACTCGCCCATAACTGCTCAACAGAGTGCACAATGCGTGACATGGCGCTCCGGTACCGTCGACGCGTTACACGGTAAATGGTTGAGTGGTTCTCGGTAAACGCTCCAGTGATCCGATGGTATGAAATCAGCACAGTAGAGGTCCAAACCTACACTCGAAAATGACTGAAAATGTCACATTAAAAATGGCTAGGCAGCATCACGAGTAAGTAACATGCCCAAACAGTTCAGATAAGAGAAGATAAAAATTCAAAAATTCGTAGGAGCTGCCTAAGCATTGGCGCTCACTCACTAACTTGTTCAGTGTATATGCCGATATAACAAGCATGTATACAAAATAAACTATGTACTACCCCTGCGAGTAAATTATAGTGATGGTTTTCATTTCTATCACTTCCATATGCCATTGCAATTAGTTAGCCAAAGGGGAAACGAAGGAGATTTCTCCGAAACATTTATTGCTTACTGTTTTGTTGTTTATTAATTTTGGGGGGTTTGTTTGTGTTGAATTTGTTGGGGGAGGGGGGCTCAAAAGGTATGTGCTATGTGGGAGTTACTTTGGTTTGCATTTTGGGGCACATTCAAATAATCAGCTTGGTGCTAGCCAAAGCATTTCTAGCTAGGAGCTGACGACAGTTGACTATAGGGATCGGCAAAGTAAATGGAGTAAATTTTGAGCTGACGCAGCAAATGTAAAAAAAAATAGCTGAGTTATACAGATGCCATTGGTTCAGAGAACTCTTGGAAATTTTGAAGAATAAATTATTGTTTCACTGAAGAAGAAGTGTCTTTGCTCCCTTATTAGTCGCATGGATCCTTGTAGGTAGGAAATAAGGCTGTGTGGTTGTACAATACTTCAACCAAACAAATCCGACTTGGCATCATTACATCTTGCAAGGTGATGGCTGAAAGTCGTAAATAGCGCCCTCTACTCCACCTCGCCCAACCGCCGAGTTACATGACAATAACAGTGAAAGATGCCAATTGGTTTTGCTTAGGCCTAAAACATGCCTATTATTCCATGATTTGTATAGGCCTATTATTTCCTTAAAATAAAAGTTGTGACATATCAAAGGTTACAAATTTACCCCCCCCCCCCACTTGCATTATTCCCCATTAGGCCAAAAAATTACTTACTTCGATTTAATAGTATGCGTCAATCTCTTTTTTCTTTCACATTTTCAGCGGTAGATATAACACTGCCCTTTATTGCCACACCACCTCAAATTTTCGTACCAAGAAACACAAGGGCACAAAGGCATTGATGGAGGGCACCAAGGCAAATGATGGAGAACACCAAGGTATTTGAGAACACACACAAGCAAAACAGTACCTACCGGTACTTCGTCTGTACAATCCAAGCTTGGAGGAAAAAAAAGCAAATACATTTTTTTAAAACAATTCTGTCTCATTTTGCATAAATGCCTCATATATTATTTTGGTTTAGACCAAGGCGTGAGTTTTACAATACAATACAATACAATAAAACGTTTTCATAGCTACAATAGCCACAACAGAAATGTACATGTAGAACATTATAATTAAGACCCAAATATTCAAGGGTGAGGGTGGTGTTCTTCTCTCAAAATGACTGTCTGAAAAAAAGGCAAAAAGGAAGACAATTGAAATGTTTTGGGATCGTCTGTGTTTGATAACTCACCAAGGCAAGGAGGTTGACTGTTTCTCAGCCCTCACAGTGTGCTCCTTCAACTTGTTTGACAGTGTGATCTGGAGTGACTTGAGATGAGCGTAAGGGATGCCGACTGACGCAATGATCTGATTGGCCTTCTCATCGCTAAGGTCTCCGCTCAGTAGGCAACGATGGAGCCCTCTGGTGCTGGCGCCCTGAAGAAGTAGGGTAGGATCATAGGGCTATGTTAAATTACTAGAGCGCTAACTCCTCATTCTTGCACGCGGAGACACTTTGAAGCCGCTCTGGGTGCAGACATTTTGAATTTATGTGCGTGTTGGTAGAACACAATCAAAATAGATGGATTGAATTTTAAAAGTGTACTCTAAATGCAACGCGCCAGTAGAAGATATGTGCGCTGACAACTTCAGCGCGTCATGACAGTTTAAAAACGTCACAGCGAAAAGCATCTGCAGCGGAGGGACGCGTACACATGTTGCGCTGTTTGCGTAGAGCAAAATGAAACGCTCATTTGCTGATCATACGTTTCCGTAAAGCACGTTTCTGCGGGTAAGATAGGAACTTGTAACTTTTAATATATATCCACCCTCATCCTAAGTGGTGCATATTACTCTGATGTCATTATGATTAGTCAGGTGGCTTAGATCTAATTTTCGTCAAGATCGTGACCGACTGGTCCAAAGCACCAAACTTGGCAGATAGATTCTTATAGACCTAGAGAAGATATTTAGAAGGGGTGACACCTGAAATTCTTTTTGGAAGGGTGCCTAATTTGCATAATTTTTTAATACCCGCGTGTAATATATTTATTCCAATATGGGGGTATATTAAAAAAAATAAAAAATTTAAGTGTATTTTGGGGATTCTACTTACATATCTTTACTTTTCCCAAAGCATATAAGTGACTGAATAATTATGAGGACATAGTAACGATCCAAAATGGCTACTATTATGCCCTAAAGTTGCGCGCATTTACTTTGTCTCCAGATATCATTAGTCTTGCCAAACATCAGTATTGATGAACTTCAAACTCACCACGTAGCTTATTGCTACAGTTACGCTATTAAAACCGTATGCAAAATCATGTGAACAATGATAACATTGTGATATTTAGCCCAGAAAACAAAAACTGGGAAAAAACAGGTGTCCGTAAATTGGGGTAACAAGTAGGTGAAGGGTTGCCTAATATGAAAGACTGGAACAAGTTCAAGGAAATTCCCAAAATTACTGTTGAGAAAACGTTTTGGCGTAGACAAAATTATTGTAAACACAAAAAAATCTCTTATTTGGGAGGATTTGGTTGAACTTGTTCAAGTCCCCATGTTACCCTTCCTGTAGTAGCCTAATTTTTGGACACCACATTTTCTCCCCTTTTTGGTCTTTTGGGCATAAACATCAAGATGTTATCAATTTTCACATGATTTCCCACTTATTTTTGTTAGGGTAACTTTGCCAGTAAGTAACTTTGTGAATTTGAAGCTCATCAGTACCCATGTTTGGCGAGACTAGTTGATGATATCTGAGGAAAAGGTAAATGCTCCCAACTTTAGGGTAAAATAGCAGCAATTTTGGTTCTTTACTATGTCCCACTAATTTTTCAGTCACTTATATGCTTTAGAAAATGTTACTGAAATAAGAATATGCAATTAGAATCACCAAAATACACTTTAAAAAAAATATATATATATATATATACCCAAATATGGGAATATATTACACGGCAGGGATTAACGATTTATGCAGATTAGGCACCCTTCCCAAAAGAATTTCAGGTGTCACCCCTTCTAAATATCTTCTCTAGGGCTATAAGAATCTATCTGCCAAGTTTGGTGCTTTGGACCAGTCGGTCACGATTCCGACCATATGCCACCTCACTAGATGTCATCGGGCGTCAAATTACAAGCAATTTTATCTGAAAAAGTGACCAATTACTTTCACCTATAACTCTTGAACTAAATATTCGATGATGTCTTATTCTATTGTCAGATAGACCATTAGGCCTAATTGTTACATATCTTTTGTCGTGTAAGTCAAGTCGCTCGACCTTTACTTCTGGGTCTACCGGAAGGTCAAAGTTAAGTAAATTCAAAATGAAGACATTAGACTGAAATCAAAACAAAGCACAATTTCTTCCGAATGGTTAACGGTATGATCACAAAACCTTGTGTCAACTTGTACCAATGTAACGAAGAGGTTATAATTTTGTTACGTCATCATGACGTCATCAGGTATCAAATTACAAGCGATTTCAGGGCAAATTTTGACAAAATAGTTTGCGTTACATCTTTTGAACTAAATAGAGTATCGTGTTCATTTTTTTGTGAGGTTGTAGACTATACCGTGAAAAACTGTTCCTGTTCCTGGACACAAATAGGGTATAAATAGGGCAGATTTTGTTCATTCTGGGTACGGTTCTTTGATGGGTGTTGGTCTACTGCTAGCTGCAAACTCTATACTGCTGATCTCTAACTGTAGTTACACATAGTGCTTTGGCCAGTTTGGGGAGCTGAGATCTTTACAACTTCAGTTGGGGGAGCCAACTTGATTAAATTGGGGTGCTGAGCTGAGCTGGGGAGCAAAGTTTTGGGGAGCCAACTTTTGGGGAGCCAAATTTTGGGGAACAAAGTTTTGGGGAGCAAAGTTTTGGGGAGAAAAACTTTGGGGAGCCAGAGTCGGAGAGCGGATATCTAGACAGTTAGTAACTGTGATTTACATCAGTTGTAGCTGATATCTTTAATTATTAAGACTCTGACAGGAGTCAGGGGATCTTGAGATATATTTGGAGTCAGGCTGCTGAGTCGGATTTCATCGAGGAATATCAAGAGAGGCCTGGGGCCTAAGTGTATTTTATTGAGAAGATTTTATTGCCGGACCACTCAATTAGAACACATTTGGGGGGTGGGAATCACAGAAATTTAAAAAAATGTATCACTTGACACATGTTTGGAAATTGATAGAATGCGAGAAGGTTGTCATTCATTTGTGCATTCCCAAGTTGCAAACCAAGTGCAATTAGAGTGCATGGGGAGGGGGGATTATAACAATTTCCAAAAATGTGTCACATGACACATCTTTGGAAATGATCTTTTCTTTTCTTCAAATTGACAGCATGTCAGAAAGTTGTCAACCATTCGTGGATAACAAACTAAATACAAAAATTAGAACATATGGGGGGATTTACAGAAATTTTCATTGACACAATGGGGAAGGAGGCCAGATTCACGGAATTTTCCTTAATAACTCCTATGAACATCTATGGAAATTAACAGCATGCAAGGTTTGGACCCATTCGTGGATTTCCAAATTGCAAACCAAGTACAAATTAGAAGCATGGGGGAGGAGCCAATTCACAGAAATTTTCAAAAGTGTGTCACTTGACACGCAAGAAGGTATGCGAGAAGGTTGTCATTCATTTGTGGCTTCCCAAATTGTAACAACGCATTGGGGGATTTACACAAATTTCCAAAACTATGTCACATGACAAATCTTTGGAAATGATCTTCTTTTGTTTTCTTCAAATTGACAGCATGCCAGAAGGTTGTCAACCATTCATGAATTAAGTACAAATTAGAACACATAGGGGAGTAGGAGGATTCAAAGAAATTTCCAAAAATGTGCCTCTTGACACATGTTTGAAAATTGACATCATGCAAGGTTGTCACTCATTCGTGGATCCCCAAATTGCAAACCAATTACAAATTAGAATGCATGGGGGAGGGGCGGATTTAAAGAAATTTCCAAAAATGTGTCACTTGACAAACGTTTGGAAATTGGCAGCATGCGAGAAGGTTGTCACCCATTTGTGCATTCCCAATAGGTCTTGTTCAGGTGACATCATTTCCTACAGACCAGCCACGTGCATCAACATACTGAGCATCCAATTGCATAACGAGTATCGGCCGCGTCGAAATTTAAAAAACATTTCAAACAATAAGTGCAGATGTTTGGAACATTTTCAACACTGCGCAATGCATGATATATTGCGTAAAATACGCAGTTGCAGCTCTCCTACAGATTTGGACGTCATTGAGCAAGCCCTATTGCAAACCAAGTACAAATAGCAATGCATGGGGGGGGACCAATTCACAGACATTTCCAACAATGTGTCACTTGACACATGTTTGGAAATATTAATAATAATAATAATAATGAACATTTATAAGGCGCCGACATCCACCAAGCAAGACGCTCATAGCGAACAATACACACAAAACAATTACAGTATAAATTAAGTTAAATTTGAATAACAGAAATTAGTGACAGAAGTAATAAACATCAACTCATTAAACACAAAAACGTGAGGTAAACATATGAGTTTTCACAGAAGATTTAAATACAGACAATGATGGTGACTGGCGAATTACAAGGGGTAGATTGTTCCCGAGTTCGGGAGCAGCGCTTGAGAAAGACCGGTTTCCCCAAGAGTGGTTGGTGCAGGGAACAGTAAGCTGTAGCACTCCAGCCGAACGAAAACTACGTGACGGCTGATATTTCGTGATAATGTCCGTTATGTAGTCCGGTGAAATTCCTTGTAGTGACTTGAAGGCGAGGAGGATCTTGAAGGCAATGTGATCAGTGATGGGGAGCCAGTGAAGGGACTTAAGACAGGGCTGATATGAGTGGTGCATCTGGATACAGTGATGAGGCGAGCAGTGGCATTTTGGAGGCGTTGAAGTTTGTTGATTTGGTGTTGTGGCAGGTTATACATGAGGGAATTACAAAAATCTAAGCGCGAAGTTATAAATGCATGGACAAGTTGCTCAGTGCCCGTACGATTTAGATACTTCCGAATAAAGCCAAGATTACGGAGATGAAAATCTGACTGATTTTGACACTGCTGATATCTGATCAATGTGGGACATGTTGGGGTCAAAAGTGAAACCTAGGTTGCGACACTTGGTGGAAGGATGGATGTGGCAATCTCCAATCCTAATGCTGGTGATATTGAACTGGGCGAGTTGTTGTTTTGAGCCACTCAGGATAAATTCAGACTTGTTGTCATTCAATTTGAGACTGTTTGTCATCATTTGTCTCATCAATGCAAGCCTCAAGATTCTCCAGGGCAGACACAGCATCAAGGGCGGATCCAGGGGGGGGCCAAAGGGGGCCATGGCCCCCCCCAAAACGAAACCAATTTTTTTTGTTTTAATGTGACATCGCAATAAAGGCAGGCAATGAGTACACCACCATCTTT